ATGATGGTTAAAGCACAAGAATGGCTGTCGAGTTAAAGCTGACAAATTGGAGGCAAACATTTTGCTCTCTTTCTTTTTGAAACGCACTACACAAAAACAAGGAGAACAGGGAAGGAGAAGATGGAAGAACCTGGGAAGCTGAAATGCTGCGACAGACGGTGATGGCCTGGGACCCGGGCAACAAAGCTGTGTGCTGTCTGCCGGGGGCTCCAAAGGAGCCTTGGTTCACATTCAGAGCCAAGAACAAGCACAGGAATTGGTGGCCCCGGGTACCTCGGGAAGAGAGTGCGAAGGTGGGGCTGAAACAGCAGGGTGGGCAGAGAGGCTGTGGAAGCAGGTAGAGGTCCCTGCCGCCCCCCACCCCCATGCTGTGTGGCCACTTGACTCCTGTTCACTGCAGTACGTGACAGGAGAGATTTATTTTCCAGAGACAGTAAACAGGGCATTCCTGAACTGGACATGTCGGGAGGGTGGAGGTGTGGGAGGGGGCTGTACTGGAGACAGAGGGGTCCAAGGAATACTGATGGGCTGACCGGGTGTGTGGGCTCCTGCTCTCTTCCTGTGCTCAGCTCCCAGAACACAGCAGCCCCACACATCCTCTGAGCGGGGGCCTGAGGAGTCTTCTCCGGGCATCTGACCAGTCTCAGAGGAAAGGCCTACACTGACGGTTCCCGGGGAAACAGGCTGGTCACATGACCCTCGGTGCCAGGCTGGAGCCGGTCCGGGGGTTCTGGGCAAGGTCTCAAGAAGACGAACTCAACAGTTACTCATGTGTTTGAATGTTTTGAGAGACTTTTACACAGCTAGGCAGAATTTGGATTTGATTAGTGATAAGTTCATTAAAAACCAAGCAAGTGAAAAAACAAGCCAATTATTCACTCCAGGTGGAAAGACTGCATGGGAAGGAGAAGTGCTCTTGGCATCGCACACAACTTAGCCATCTACAGCATCTCCACAGTCGTGGTGACGAGAACATTGGGTGTTGATCTAACCAGAGCGCAACGTCACCATCTTCGGCAGATGGCATGCTAGGGTGTGTGTGTGTGTGTGTGTGTGTGTGTGCGCGCGCGCGCGCGCGCGCGCACGTGCGCGTGTGTGAGTGTGTGTGTGTGTGCGTGCAGCAGGGGTGCAGGAGACCTGTAGAGAGCTAAGTCCCCATCTTCTGTGTCGGGAAGCCAATAGATAATATCTATAATCGAAAGATCATGTGACAACATACATGACATACATCTGTCATTGGGAAATGTGCAGTCAAGTATTAACAGAATCAGAAGCGTTGGAGGGGGCTGCCTCTGAGAGCATGCAACGGAGCTGAGAGCACTGCACGGCTTGTTGATGCCTATGTTCCATAACAAGCCTTGTAAAACCACTGACTCTTTCAGAAATGTGTATGTATAAAGCTAATGAAAATGAATATTAAATTCAAAAAGGAAAAGAAGAAAGTAGTTACGTTAATATACCCCATTACTGGCTTTTTTTTTTTTTTTTAGTCCCTCCTGGGTACTACCACAGTACCAAGTACACATAGCTGTCACTTTGCCTGGTGTTGTGGGTTGAACTGTATCCCCTAAATGATGCTGAAGACCTAACCTTCAGAATCAGACCTTTTTGGAGACAGGGTCTTTATAGAGGTAACCAGGTTAAAGGAAGGCCATTAGGGTGGGCCCTAACCCAATAAGACTTGTGTCTTTATACAAACAGGAAATATGGACACAGAGACAGACACGCGCAGGGAAGGCCAGGCGGAGATGAGGGTGGAGGTCACGGGGCTGCAGCTACAAGCTGAGGAACAGCAGAGATGCCAGCAAACTGCCAGGAGCTGCGGGAGAGGCCTGGGACAGCTTCCCTCACAGCCTCGGGAGGAACCAGCACTGCCCACACCTTGGTCTTGCACTCAGAGCCTCCAGACTGTGAGACGACATGTGTCTGTCGTGGGTCCCCAGGCTGTGGTTCCTGTTGTGGTGGCCCTAGGAACTAACACACACCCATGGGACCGCTCATTTCCACGCGCCCTGTGAAGGAAGGGACTACGTCTCTGAATCTGCCTCTGGAGGGAGGAGGAAAGGAAGGGAGAAAAGAAGTGAGGGGAGGAAGAAGAGGAGGGGGATGAGAATGTGCCTAGATCGACCTTGACCAACACGACCTTGACCCCAGCTGGGAGACCTGCCTTGAGGCAAGAGAGGTTACACTTCTGTCTTGAATCCTTTTATAACTGGAACATGTGTACGTGTTATGTTTGCAGTTGAAAAATAAATAAATACAAACATACTGAAGAAAAGTGGAAAAGAAAATTCGTCCTCAATTCTTCAAAATCTCCAGATGGGAGAAGAACTAACTGGTAATGTTGAGGTTAATACAGGATATTGAAGCTAAAAAAGGATTAAAAATACTGTATTTTAATTTATTTGTTCTTTTTCCCTAAACAAGTAAGACGACTGTATTGGGCAGGCGGGCCCTGTCCATCGGCCCAGCGTGGTCCTTCTGGGACTCACTCAGGAACATATAGAAAGCTTTCTGAAGACTGGCCCTCAGTGGATGCAGGAATAAGGTGATGCTGCCCCCTCCACCCCCATTGTCCAGGCACCAGTATGCGATGCACAACCCACACGCAGCCTCTGTGGCTCACGGGGTGAAAAGTTATTAAGTGAAATCAGTTGAAATAAAAAGAGTCACATCTGTTGTGGTACAGAGTTCACTTCTCCAGACAGGTTTGGCCTGCACTGCAGGGGACACACACATGCCCACGTGAGCGTGCGTGCGCACACACACACACAGACACTCAGCAACCCTGGGGGAGAGTAGAGGCAGCTGCAGAAGCCAAAATCCTCCCCACTCTTAATTAAACCCTCCAAGTTTCCAGGCAACACAGCCAAGGGAAAACTCATTTCCAAGCTGAAGGCCCCAGCCCCCAGCCCAGCAGAGGAAACGGGTCGTTTGGTTTAATCAGCCCACATGCACATTCCCTCTCTCCAGGTTGCCAAGAGGGGCCTGTACCTAGCAGAGGTATTTGTGTAATCAAAGCTTCTGGAACTTTCCCTGCCAAGGCTACCAATGTGAATAGGCTCCTGAGGTAAGAATGTTCCCCCTGCTGGGGACGGCGCCCTTGAAGTCCACATCAAAATCAAGCCGGGGTCACAGCTGCTGCGGCACCCCACGGCGGAAAACTTGCAAGAAATCCTGCTTCTACCACTGCTTTGCCTCAGGTCCGGAGGAAACAAGCCCAGTTGTGGTGGGGGGCGGGAGAGAAGACGCTGTCAAAAAGCCAGCCCTTCCATCTACCTAGCACTCTGGGCGCAAGGACAAAGCCACTGGGAACCATGCCCCATCACAAGGCACCCACCCTTCACGTCACCCTCTCTCACTCATTCCCCTTTTGGGAGCTGGGGGTCCCAGAGAGCCGCTGGGGGGGCAGCAGATTAACTCTTCAAGTACCAGAATGGGCTCAGAGCTGTCATCTCATCACTTCCCTCAAAGGAAAGGAAAAACAAGTGGCTTTCTCTGTTCTTGAAGACCCCTGGCTCGCAGCATAGACACTGGAGGAAATCTGTGAGGGGAAGGTGGCCCAGTCACCCATTCGTACAGTGGCCTGGGCAGGGTGAAGGGCAGTCGTGTGCTCCAAGTTTCATGACTTCAGTGACACTTGGTTCATACTTGGTTCAAAGGACTGAAAGACCCTTTGAGAAATTTATGCCCAGATTCAATTCATGTCAACACATACGAAATACAACAGGAAATGGGTGCGTTCCATTTCCAGGACAGTGCTGGTGGACGGCCCTGCCCTCGGGGCTGGGGGGAGACAGGCTCTCGAGGAGTAGTGTTCTTGTGGTTAACCCTCTTGGACAAGTACAGGAATCGAGACTCAAATTGGCTATGAAAGACTTAAGTAAGTTAAGGGAAAATAGGCTTATGAAGATGATTTTACATCGAGCTTCTCTGATAGCGGAAATCTTATGTCTCTAGGGTGAGCAAGGCCTAAAGTATGGGAGCTGCCAGAAAGAAACGTTGCCAGCAGGGCCTAAACATGCCTGCTGGTCAGGTGGAATAAGTCCTTGTCGAGGAAAAGGAGTCACCGTCCTGGGTATTCTAGCGTCTGCAAAGCATCCCCCATTCTGCCTCTGAAACTTCTGCCATGAATATAAAAATACCGTGGTGTTGACTGGAGTAGTGGGCTGGAGAGGCGAAATGGATTTACTTAGAAAGGGAGAGAGAGCTACCAGCCACAGGAGGAATAGATTCAGAAAGGGGAGCGGGCCGGGGTACAAAGAGGTGCTCCTGTAGTGGGGTTAGGAGAGTCTGGAGGAATATAGGGAGGAGGAGGGAATCAGGAGGACAACCACAAATGTGTGATGTACACGGCCAGAGAGACGGGCAGAGGCAATGGAGGAGGTTTTGCTGTGCATTTGGGATTCCCTCTGATATCCTTCAAGAGAGCTCAGTAAAGATTAAATTGCATTACAGTTATTTTTATTTCTTGGACTGGAAGGCCGCCCACGGTGTAAGCAACCCCCATTGGTGGCACCATCTCTTCCTTTTCCCGCCTGTCTAGGTGTTAGGACAATGTCCAGATTATAATTTCTCTCAGGAAAAGCCATCCTGGGAGTTCCAGGAGGTTATACAAACCTAAGTACTTATTACGCCAATCCTAATACGCAATTTCTCATTCTGGAATGGGAGGCCTCGCAGTTTAAACTGTACAATATCTCTTTTTTTTTTTTAAGGATTGTGAGCTAATAACTGTTGCCAATCTTGTTTTTTTTTTTTCCCTTCTTCTTCTCCCCAAAGCCCCAGTACATAGTTGTATATTCTAGTTGTGAGTGCTTCTGGTTCTGCTATGTGGGACGCCACCTCAGCATGGCCTGATGAGCGGTGCCGTGTCCACGCCCGGGATCCAAACCAGGGAAACCCTGGGCCGCCAAAGCAGAGCGCACAAACTTAACCACTCGGCCACGGGGCCGGCCCCTGCTCTGCAATGTCACCAAAAGGACAGGAAGCATCACAGTAGGACAACTCTCTGATCATGAAGTGATTTTGTGTGTTGATGTCATTTTCTTGAATCATCCACCATACTTACGCTGGGTCCGCATGGGGCAAATAGGTGTCGGGTGGAATTGGGGCTCAGAGTGGCCCACTAGCCCAGCTTCTTATTTGGGACAAGAATGGTGATGTCTTTGAAGACTTTGAATGAGGTAGACCCCAGGTCTGACCATGCTGCCATCTTTTCCTTCTGCCAGATTCTCCTTGCCTCTACCACTCTCTTCCCACCCAAACACGCCTGGGCTGCTCAGCAAATCCTATGCTAAAGTGAAGACTGTTGAAATGTCCTGGCCTCTGTGAAACCTGCCCTGACCACTCACCTACAGCCTCTCATCCCTGAATCACCCTCGGTTGCTACAATGCTGTTTTCATATCTACCTTCCTAACTAGAGTGAAGACACAAATGAGCTCTGTGTCTTCAGTGCCCAGGACAGTGCCTGGCACACAGCTGATGCTCAATAAACTGTCGGACACAGAGCTGTCATCTCTTTTGTCCTTCCATGATGAGAAAGCCCAGCTTTTGAAAAGTCATCATTTTCCAAGTGCTTAACCCAGAATCCAAACTGCAGTAGGTACGAGGGAATTCAGTCAGTTACTCATCCCGCTGATCACACATGCATTTCCCATCCTTCAACTGGCAGGCTAAGAACAAAGCTCACCCAAATTCACGGAAGTGGAGAAAAACGTCCCATAAGACGACTTTCTGAGCATCAGAGCTGGCGGATTATGGTTTCAAAGCCTCCGGCAAGACAAGTTCCCTGCTCGCACTTCTGTTTCTGACGTGAAACTCGTACTCTTTCAAAAAATGTTTATTTTTTTAATATAAAAGTACTCCATGCTCATTAAAGAAAATTTGCAAAATAGAGAAAAGCAGAAAAGGACAAAACAGTTTTCAATCAGAGTCTCATTATGTAAATAGTGAGTCTGTAACATTCTGGAGTATGAGTTACTCTCTTACTTATGGAATTTAATAAAAACCAGACAACAGCTCGTGCTGTCTGCTAAAATCAGAGCCAGCTTCCACAGAAAATACATCGTGAGCTTCATAGTTGGTCCCTGCAGCACACACTTGGGGAGCGCCCGTCGGCACACCCTGGTAGGCGACGCTGGGAGGGGTGATGAGCTGGCGGAAAGCGGAATTAGCACGGTTGGGAACCGCGGCTCCAGCCCAGGGAGCTTTGGACATTGCGGACCACTCTTCTGCTCTTCATATCACCCTGACAACCTCAGGCTGCAGTCCCTTCCAGCTCCCACTCAAGCAATTACTGTCAATCCTCGCAGGCTGCCGGGGTGGGCACACGGCCCTTCGTAAAAACTAGAGGGCCTCCCCACAGCCCCATGACCTTCACCACTTGGTTCCTTGACTGAACCTGCCTGGAGCTGCCATAATACCTGAACTCTACCATCCAGCCCTTGGACCCTTCGTGACAACCCCAGCATTGTCACTTGTTAGTGTAATGGGACAAACAGCTCACCAGAACTGAAAGGTCACGGCAAAAAGATGACACCGAATTGAAGTAAATAACAGACAGAGGCAGCTGTCAGATGGAGGTGAGCAACCGTCAGGATGCCCTCGTGTGCCCAGACCGACCAGCCCGGAGAAAAGTGTACACCGACTTCTTGACACTGGAATGGATTTTTACCTGTGCACAGATACTGTCTGTATTTAATGTAAAAGGCATTTCTGTGCCCAGAGTATGAATCAGCACTGTGACTAAACAAGGTTTCCTGTTCTCTTTCCAGGCACCAGGTTAGTTGCTGGGGACACAAAGATCCACATGGCAACCCAGCCCGGGAGACACCACGCCCCTCCACGGAGGGAAGGGAACCTAGCGTGTCGAGTGCTTACTCTGTGTGGCATTGTGCTAGGTGTTGTTTAAAATTAGCACATTGAATCTCAACAAGGTGTGAGACACATAGCCTGATTTCTCATTTTATGGTGGAAGAAACTGAGGTTCAGCCATCTATTTATTTCCTTGACTCACACAGCTGGAATTCTGAACAAAAACTCAAACCTACATCCAGGTCAGTGTGACAGAGTGGCAGGGAGAAGCGTTTTAGTGTGGGTGGGCTGGGCTTGGGGCAAGGCCGGTGGCAGTCTGCTTGGCCTTGCTGTCAGAGTCAGAGCGCCGGCCATGGCTCCGAGCGACACTGTCTACAGAGAAGCTGACCTGTCAGCTACAATCAGGTGGGACTAACCTCCTGCTTTGTAGACCTCTAGGGTTTGTTTTGTACTTTTCTTTCTTCTTCCCCGTAAAGCCCCCCAGTACATAGTTGTGTATTTTTAGTTGTGGGCCCTTCTAGTTGTGCTATGTGGGACGTGGCCTCAGCGTGGCCTGACGAGCGGTGCCATGTCTGCGCCCAGGATCCGAACCGGTGAAACCCTGGGCTGCCGAATTGGACCATGTGAACTTACCACTCAGCCACGGGGCAGGCCCCATAGACCTCTAGTTTGAAGGAGGCATTTAATTACTCTCCTTCCTACCTACTGAAGGTAAGCTTCAGTCTTACCTCGTCCGTCCCTGACAATGCAGAGGGGGGAACGGGTGGTGGAACGTGTCTGAGGTGTGGATTCAGATGGACTGGTGCTACTGCCAGTGGTGCAGCCTGGGGTACACGTCTGGGTATTTTTGAGCTCTGGTTCCTCACCCATACAATGGCACAAGGGCTCCCCGACAGGGTTATGGTTATGTTTCCAGAGATATCAGAAGTGGTGGCTCACACAGCGCATGGAATATTTCCACACTCAACGATCATCAGCTCTTGTCCCTTCACTGCTTTCCAAGTCCCGCTAGCACAGACCTATATGGTCAGCACTGTTATGTGTCCTAAAATACTTTCTATTTTTCCTGTGTGCGTTAATCTTTGTTCCCCCAACCTTTCCCCTTCCCCATAAGTTGGCCTTAAGGTCTTTGAGGAAAAAGACTATGTCACATGTTAGCGCCTTTCAGAGTGTCTGACCCACAGCAAATATTTTTTTTCAAAAACACCAAAATTTGATTGATTTATAGGTTCTGTCTTGTGGACACCACATTCTGACTGCTAAGTGATGTGTTAGCAGTGGTGTACTGAAGCCAGCTCACACTGGCTTGTGAGAACAGTGTTAAATTTCCAGGAAATTTGTGAGCCAGTTGTTAAGCTGTGGGCTGCTTAAACTTTGCTCTGGTGGGAGAGTTTACACCACAGAAATTGGCAAACACTACACATCAGGCCTTCACTCCCTCCCACACCTGCAGACAGGCAGGGAGACGGCTGCGGGCTAGGTTTCCTATAGTCTAATTTTGGCGCCTAATCATTTGCACAAAGCTTCCAGATGACATGCAGCTTGATTTCACCAAAGCAGAAGACTGTAGAGAATCTTAAGACTCCCTATTCTGACAACAGGATTTCCAGCCTTAGAATTGGAAATGTAAAGATCTCACTTGCTTTAACCTCCCCCACTGTAGAAGCACCCTCTCTCACATCCTGATGATGTCCTTCTGGCCTCCACCAAACACTCTGGAGGGGAGGAGCTCATTTATTGTTTTCCACGCAGTTTTTCCAAGGGAGAGCTCCAAGATTATTTGAAAATTCTTCTTCACAGTGGCTTGTTCCAACCTTTCCTGTTACTACCTGCAGTTGCTTCTGGATCTGCCTTTTTTGTAGCAGAGCAGAATAACCACATTCTGTGTAGTGACAACTTTATGTCACAGCTTCCTGCCACTCTCAGAGCCCTTCTTTCTCAGGCTGCACAGCCTTCTTTCCCAACTCTTAAGATCCCTTCACCATTGTGGTTATCCAAGAACTGAACCAAATATTCTAAATTTGGCCAGTTCAGTACAATAAAGTGAGACTACTACTTCCTATGATATTTTCCGCAAGCATATTACACAGAGAGTTTGGGTTTTGCTTTTAAAAAATTAATTCTTTTCCTGGGCATTATTTTCAGGTTGGGCCACCTTGGTGCTGTACCTACACAACCCATTTTAGGAACTCAGTGCTTTATATTTATGGTGGTTATATGTCACATTCTCATTATCAATCCATTATTTTCTGAGTATTAATTTTGACATCCATATTAATTTAATTTTTCAGTTTTTTGACCTCTCCTGTAGGCCTCCCTAAAATAGATTTTCAAGAGTGAACACAGATATTCAGCCAGTTGTTGTTTTTACCTACTTACTATTGTCCAATACAACTTTCTAAAATCTGGCTATAAGGATGCCATGAGAAGTTTTGTCCAGTAGTTTGCTGAATTCAGGCATGTTTACATAATTCCCTGGATTTGTCAGTCTTGTCACTTAATCAAAAATGGTAGTGAATTTAATGTGGTATGCTTTGTTTCTAGTGAACTCAGGCAGTTTCTTGTAATCATCTACTTGTTTCCTAATTTGCTTATAAATGTTGTATTTAATAATTGATTCTAGAATTTTGTCCCGAGAAAAGACTTCCCCGTCAGCAGTTTCTGATAGCCTCCTTTTCCTGTTTGTTGAGACTCAGGATGACGTTTTCTTAATACTTCCTTTGATGCCTCTCCTGTTCGCTTCGATGTCACATGGGTTCCCAGTCACGGGACTCCTGTAAGTCCTGTCGCATCCTGTTATGAAATTTGTCTGCTCGCTTCTGCACTGCTCCCGCAGAAACGTGATGCAAACCACAAAGGTGACCCACTGACATAATTTACAGATTTCTAATAACCACATCAAAAGGGTAAAAAGAAACCGGTAAAATTAACTTTAACCTTATATCTCCGAGTTATTATTTCAGCATATAATCTATATAAAAATTATTTTATATTTTTGTACTGTCCTCCAAATCTAGTGTGTGTTTTACACTAACAGCAAATCTTAATACGTACTAGCTACATTTCCAGCATTCGATAGCCACATGTAGCCAGCAGTTATCGTATGAATCGCACAGTTATAGACTAAACTCATTTCAGGTTCCTGGACATTATTGTTATTACCATTGTTATGTGTTCTTTCATCTTGTACTTCGTTCCCATTTTCATGATATTTACTCTTTCCTTTTCAGCATGAAGGTCTCACTCGCCGTCCAGAAGGTAGGAGCAGAATAGGGGTGGATGGCTTTGCTTTCTCTCTGTCTATTAATATTAACGAGGGCACCTTTTACAGTGAAAAACCATAAAGAAAGCTCATTAAGGGCAGCGACACCCCCAGCACACAACTCTCCCTAGAACCACAAAATGGGCCTGTTACAGAGGCCTGGGAGCTAATTCTCTCCAGATGTTTGCAAAGCGAGCAGGACCAGAAGGTGGGAGCCGAAATTACTGAACACTCCATAAGGCGCTGATGGAGCAGGGCCCCAGGCTTGGCTCAGCAACAAGTGAACACAGAGACCCTGTTTGTTCAGAGGAACTTCAAAGCCCCCATAAACTCCCAGGAAAGGTGAGAGACAACAACGCCACAGAGCCCAGCGTTCCTGCAAAGTCAGACTGGAGATGAACTTGAGACGCTGCCCCTGGAGCTTAAGAAGATGACAGAGGGGCAGGTCTGGTGAGCAGATGTCTGCCTTTTGTTTATGCCCATTCTTATACACAGTAAGTGCATGCTGCATGGGCACATGTCTCTAGCCAGGCCAAAGAGGACACACCAATTTACAGTCGTGCATCACAATGCTGCGGACACATTCCGAGAAAGACGTCGTCAGGCGATTTTGTCGTTGTGCAAACATCACAGAGTGCACTTACGCAAACCAAGATGGTACAGCCCACTATGCACCTAGGCTGTATGGTACTAACCTCACGGGACCCCTGTCGTATAGGTGGTCCGTTGTTGACCGAAATGTCATTACACAGCACATGACTGTAAATACCGAGTTAGAAAAATAGAAAGAGAAAATGCCCTTTCTGTGCTAAGTATTACTCTACACCAAAACCATAAAATTACTAATGAGACATAGCAGGTCCAAATAAAGTTGTGCATGTTTATCTTCATTTTTCTCTTCCTTCCCTCCCTTTAAAAGTGCGACAAACAGCATGGAGTTACTGCTAAAATTATAACTAAAGAGGAGGAAGAAAGACTAATTAATCAAGTGTGGTATCAGTCGAAAGTTCGATATGTTATCTCTTTGGTCACCAGACTCCTGGCAGGAGAAAGGCTTCCAGGATCCAGTGTGGGTGTTTTTTCCATTGCTAATCACCGTGACCTGCCAGGTATGTGCTGTGTCCCTTTTATATCTTTCTTTGGGGTTCAAACAAAGAATGAAACAATGGAGCCGAAAAGGAAGGCAAGAAAAGTGATCAAAAGTGGCCCGGTTACCTGAGCAAAGCAGCGTAGATGCAGGCAGAGAGTGACCCACAAACAGTTACCAGAGAGAGAAGCAGACAGTCCTGCTGTGGTGAGAAACTGAGGCAAAATCCCATCTCCCCTTTGGAGAGTCAGAACACGTGGGCCCACGCCTTTTTTTTAAGGACAGAATTATGTAGCATTACACTCAGACGTAGTGGTTAGTCAAAGGCAGGCTCTCTTTGGACTGAAGTAGATCCAGGCTGCGCTCCCGGCTCAGCCGCTTACTAGGTGAGTAAACTTGAGGTGGTTTAACTGCTCTTGGGTTTCCGTTTCCTCATCTACAAACAGAGCGTGAGAACAGAACCTTTGTGGGCCTATTGTGAGGATTATCTGAAGTGTGAGGCCAGGTCCCAGCCCAAGGTCAGAGATAACCAATGATGCTCAGGAGAGAGCCCCTTCTCACCCGGCGGTCAGCTCCCTTCCGCTGGGGTTCGTGCCCCTTGGAAGACTGCAGACCTGCAGGCAGGTCCCTTTCCTCCCTAACCTCTGAAGAGCGGGGTCATCCAGGTGGTTGCTCATGCTGGTTCTCTTCCTACAGAAAAGGACCAGTCTCAACAGAGTCACGGACGCAGTGAATGTCTAGGCTCCCAGCATTTGCCGCAAGTGGGGATCCCAGGAAGGGTTGTCTGAGCTGGATCACTGGCCAGGCAGCCACGTGTCGCCCTGTACCCTAGCTTCCCTCAGTTCCCCTTCTGAGTACTTTTGTGCATATGATCGGTCACCGTAATAAAGCATTTCAGAAAGTCATGATTTGACAAGAAAAAGATAGACGTAAACACTAACCTGACGAACACTGTGAGGAGAAACATCTGGACGTCCACGGCCTGTTTCCTGCTGAGAGTTTGGGAACTCGGGGATTTCAGCAGTTGGACAGGCTAATTTTGGAAATGACCTCACATTTGCACAAAACAGAAAAGCACACATTTATTACACTTCACTCATCAGATGAGGGAAGTTGGCGGTCAACATCCTGGGCCTCTCCGAGAACAAAAGCGAGGGAGCGGGAGCCGCCCAGCGGGCTTTCCTCCACTTCCGGCTCTCGCAGTCCGGGGCCCCCTCTCCCACAGGGGGACTTCAGTTTCCTTGATTTCTTCCTTCCCTCTTACGTTCAGTTTCCTCTTTGGTTCCAGAAATCTCAACTTGAATTCTGGATTTTCCCTTTCATGGCTAGTAGCTTGTAGAGAAATCTCTTAATCTGGCAAAATCTCAGTTTCCTCTTTTGAAAATAAAACTAATAATCATAGCAATAGTAATAAGAAGTACTCACCCTTGAATTTCACAGGATGGACAGATGTCTCCTCCCCTCCTTCCGCTTCCCACAACAGTGAATGTTCTTTCTTGCTTCCACATCTTTCAGTACAAGGTCTCCCTTTTTCTCTCCCTGGAGGGCTGTGACTCAGCCTTTTGGATGCAGCCCACATGTCACTGATGCTGGAGAGCGTCTTTGTCTCCCTCTCACAAGTATTCAAGTAACATTTCAAAGCACATTTAGTGCAATGGGCCACTTTACGTTAAGGAAGAAAAAGCAGGTTGTCAAACAATACAATCCCATTTGGTAAAATATTATAGGTACACATATTTAAGTTTATTTAGCAGGATGATAAATGAGACTCTTCTTGTTTCGGACTCCAGACCACAGCTGCAAGGTTAAAAGAACCCTCACCTTCGCAGATGCCAGGTATCCCCCTGCAGAGGCTGTTGAAAGGCAGGCCAAGATAGTCTTGCAACACCCACCACCCCAGTCAACCCACGTCAGAAAAGGTAGGACTCTCAGACTCCGTTTACTTAAACAGGGACTTCGTACCAATGAGTTGTTGGTTGAATAGGGACTCTTGTGCCCTCTCTCCTCTGTTCCCCACGAGTTAGCCACCTCTCAGGCCAAATGAGAGAAGCTCTAAGAGAACAATTCCAAGAGATTGGGGCTGCCTACAAGAGGGGAGCCTGGCTTCTCATTGCTTGCTGGACGCCGCTGGGTTCCAGACACTCCCAGGCCCATGGGGGTGCTGCCTCCCCAGCAGAGTAAACTGAGAAGGTTCTTGGCAGCTTGACACGTGCTCCCTTCCCTAGAGGTTGGGGGCCCATGTGAACTCAAGGAGTAGTGCTCACTTCCCATCGGAGCACCTGAGGGTGGGAGGCCAGAGGAGCAGTTTGCAACAGCCGGGCAAAGAGAAAGTGCAGCAGAGGAGCGGTCTCGCTCCACCACTCAGCGAGCAAGTGGGGCCTGAGTTCTCCAGGGCCAAGGGGATATTTTGGAAGGTACTGGATTTAAAGCTCCTTGAAGGTCACCCAGTGAGAACGGTTGTAGGGTAACTGCAGACGTTGGGAGCGGAGGATGGCAAGACATCAGCTGGAGTGGGTGTCACTCACACTGATGTCAGAGGGCCACACAGTATGTGGGCCTCCAGGTGCCTCCAGGTAACTCACACATCCAACTCACGAAAGACTCAGGTGTGGAAGCTTCCGGGGAGACAGGCCGTGTTAGCCCAGGGACACCTAAGACAGCAGCCACAGCAGCTAAGGAAGGACGTCGCTCTCTTCTTCCTCCTCCTTTCCACCCCAATTTTGGAGAGCCGACCCAGACACGCAGCGCCCACTCTCCACTAAAGGTTCCTGACCGTGACTCAGGTCTATGTTGAGGGTTGCAAAGTGGGCGATGCTGGGGGAGCAGAAGGTTGAAATTGGCAGTGAGATTGAAGCTTTGCTTTAGACGCAGTGGAACTTGCCACTATAACTGAAAGTGACATTTTCCTTGTGGATCCATTTTGCTCTCAAGATCCCATTCCTTATGATGGAGGGGAGAAATCGTTAGACTGGCCCATGAAAGATGATGTACCCTTTCTGCGCTTACTCAGAGACGAGTCCATATGGCAGTGTTCTGGGTTCTCATCGTAACTTAAAGGGAAGCTTTCACAATGTCTGGGCTCCTGGATGTCCTACAGATGAAGGGGGAGGACGTCCTCAAATTCCTTGCAGCAGGAGTCCACTTGGGTGGCACCAACCTTGACTTCCAAATGCAACAGCACATCCACAAAAGAAGTGATGCCATCTACATCATCAGTCTCAAGAGGACCTGCGAGAACCTTCTCCTGGTGGCTTGAGCCATTGTCACCATTGAAAACTCAGCTGATGTCAGCGTCCTATCCTCCAGGAATACTGGCCAGAGGGCTGTCCTGAAGCTTGCTGCTGCCACTGGAGCCACTCCTCTTGCTGGCCACTTCACTCCCAGAACCTTCACTAGTCAGGTCCAGGCAACCTTCCAGGAGCCACACTGGCTGCTGGTTACTGACCCCAGGGCTGGCCAGCAGCCTCTCACATAGGTGTCCTATGTTGACCTGCCCACCACCACTCTGTGTGACCCTCCTTCGTGCCATGTGGACATTGCCACTGCGTGTAACACCGAGGGAGCTCACTCAGCAGGTCTAACATGGTGGGCAGTGGCCTGGGAAGCTCTGCGCTCGTGTGGGAGCATCCCTTGTAAGCACCGACGGGGGTCACTCAGCGGGTCTAACATGGTGGGCGGTGGCCCGGGAAGCTCTGCGCTCGTGTGGGAGCATCCCTTGTGAGCGCCGAGGGGGGTCACTCAGCGGGTCTAACATGGTGGGCGCTGGCCCGGGAAGCTCTGCGCATGCCTGGGAGCATCCCTTGTGAGTGCCGAGGGGGGTCACTCAGCGGGTCTAACATGGTGGGTGCTGGCCTGGGAAGCTCTGCACACACGTGGCACCATCCCCTGTGAGCACCGAGCGGGGTCATGCCTGATCCCTACTTCTGCAGAGATCCTGAGGAGATGGAAAAGGAAGAGCAGCCCCTGCGGACAAGGCTGTGACCAAGGAGGATTTCAGGGTGAGGGGCCTGCTCCAGCTCCCGAATTTACTGTCCTCAACCTGAGGTCACAGACTGGTCTGGAGGTGTAGGTGCCCTCTGCGCCTGTTCAGCTGTTCCCTGCGGAAGACTGGAGCCCCCAGCTGCCACCAGACACTGGTCTGCAGCCCTTTCTGTGCGGGCCACGAATGGGCGGGAACAATACTGAGGGGTCTTAAGCTGCTCTTCCCCAGGCTCTTGAACAGAAAACGGAAGTAAAGTGGATGGAAAAGAAACAGTGTCTAAAAGAAAGAAAGAAAGGTAATTCCATCTGTAGGTTTACTACTATCCAGGTGAACGTTCTGTGGATTCCATTAGTAGGACCATCAGGACTGCATCTTCCTTCTCAAGTCATTTCCCCTTTTCTTCCTTATTTCTGTGATGGTGTCCAAGCTTAGGCAGAAGCTTCGTAGCCTCTTGACAGTGGGAGAAGTCCCTAATCCACGTGCCATGTCCTCATTTTCCAGATGAGAAAGCATAGGGTGCCTGTTAGGGCACATAGTAGCGGGGCAGAACCACCTCTGTGTGTGAGCAGAGGTTGATATCCATAAATGCGGAACCCCCGTGAACGGATTAGGTGACCAATGTGTCATCTTACAAAAATGAGGAGCGTGCTGGCTGGGTTGTGTGGCCGAGGTGCCAGCTCTTGACATACTTTTCAGGACACTTCAGACTCGTATAAGACACGCCAGCCTAACACAATTGAGTGGCTTCTATTATTTCTGAAAAATGAACGTAGCCCAGGAAAGGACATGGGATTTCACAATTTTCAAAGTATGGTGGGTACTGTTGTTCCAATCTCTTATTCCTCATTCATTTATTACACACCAATTGTGTGTGTTCCATGACGTCCTGTTCTAGGCACCAAGGATAAAGAACTTAAGGAAGACAGACAGCCCTACACTTAGGGAGCTTTTCTTCTAAAGATAAGAGGGAGGAATAAAAACTAATTACTAATAAAAACTAATAACTCATGCCATATCATAATTTTGATAAGTGCTATGATAGAGAAATTTAGGGTCCCATGAGACCATAAAATCAGGACATGAGCTATAGGGTGGGTCAGAGGATCTTTTCTTGAGGGATTGGTGTTTGAGCTAAGCTATAAAAGATGAACAGAAGCTAGCCAAGGGGAAGGGAAGAGGTATAAGAATGTTCCAGACTACATGTGTGCTATTCCTATTGAGACAGAGCCAGGCTCAGCCACAGACCTGAAGAAGGCTGGAATGACTGGACCGCAGCAAGGTCAGTTGTACAAGGTTTAGATTAAGTAGGTATTGGATTCAGTCTGTGATCCACCAGGTGGTATATGGGGGGATGCCCATGATCTTACTGGGAGTGTACTGGGAGAATCCAGGAAGTGGAAGAGGTAGCTGAAACGTAGCTGTATCATTTCGACGTGCTTTCAATACGCTGTAACAGAAAATCCAACTAACAGTGCTTAAAACTTAGGTCAGCAAACTTTTCCTGTCAAGGGCCAAATAGTGACCATTTTAGGCTTTGCGGGCCAGGCTGCCCCTGTTGCAATTGCTCAGCTCTGCAGGTGTAGCATGAAACAGCCATAGACAATACATGAACAGTGAGCGTGGTTGTATTCCAATAAAGCTTTATTAATCGGCCCGCAAGCTACAGGCTGTTGATCGCTGGCACAAAATAGGATATTTAAGGTTCACTTAGCGAGAAGCCTGGCAGTGGTGGCTCCAGGGTTGGCTCAGCAACATCATGATGGGGGAGCTGGAGAGCCAGCTCTGTGCTTCCTTGTTGTCATGTGAGCAAGTAGAACAAAGACACCAGGTTACTATTTTTTAAATACGAGTTTACTAAATCAGTAGTCAAGGAGACGTGTATCCATGAAGAAATTCACTGAGAAGTTCCTCGAGGGGGAGAAGTCAGGGGTTTGTAAGTGCTGAATGAGACGGAGTGGTTCATGGTGGAGAGGCTGACAAAGAACTGAACACTGGTCCTCTGGACAGAGCAGAGTAAGTCCGCTGGGCTGTCGAGGATTTGTCAGAACCAGCCTCACTGTTCACTGGTCAGCAAAGGATCTTCGTTCGGCCCAGTCAGGATCCGATTCTGGGGTCCCCCAAAGCTCCTGATCCTTCATCCAGTTCCACAGCCCAGAACCAGTTGTGGTGAGACACGAGTGAGTTTTGACCTCCCCTAGGCAAGTCTGATGTGAGTGGACACTGACTGTGCACAGCTCCGAGATGGCCCTGACCGTCCAGGGATCACGTGTTTAGGGGGCAGTGTCTCGTCATGAGGGAGGGCGCAGCCAGAAGGGCTTCTGCTCCTGCACTCCCTCTCACATGAGGAGGAAATTTCCAGGAGCCTCCCGTCCCCTGCAGCCGTCTCACCCTATGTCTCATTGGCTAGGACAAGGTCACACGTCCACCTCCACACCCTCCACTGGCAAGGAAGGCAGGGACAGTCACAGCCCTTCCTGGGCTCCTGCCTGACACCCGAGCAGTGCTGGGGACCTCCAGCTCAGAGGAAGGGCTCGATGGCCAGTGGGAAGGCCATCAACTGTGTCCCCCAACAACCATCACTGACCTTCCCCCTTGTTTACAGAAATGCAGAGGCAACAGGAGGCAGGCACTGCTCAAGAGGCTGGAGATGGAGCGGTGTAGCACAGGTCTGCAGGAATTCGCTGGCTCTTCAGAGCAGGGCCCTAACCGTGGCTTCGGTAGTGCTGGCTGCTGGTGAGGATAATCCTGTCTTGTCTGTGGGAGATTTGGGTTTTGTTGTTCATTAGAACGCTTTAAGGGAACACCCTCCACGCAACCCCTCTTCCTAAGGACGCACAGAACTAATCTAAGCAAAAAGCTTGAGGACAGGAAACTCCAGTTTATCTATAAAACAAACATACTTGTAGTTTAAATAATCAGCCATAGGTTATTGGATTTCTTCTCTCTATGTATACGCTACTTTTATGAGAAACTGGCAAAGTATGTATACACACACCAACGTTAGGGATTTAGTAAGCAAAGCCATTTCCAGGGGATGTTATAATTAAAGTCACACTAATTCAGCCCAATCGTTACACACCTAGTACGCCTCGGTCTGCGCTGTGGGGTAATGATATAATTATAACCCTGGAGCGTTGCAGGACACGGGAGAAAGAATGAGCTCTTCTTTTCAAGTTGTTATGTAAATTGTATGTTACTGTTGTCTAATTGTTTGTCAGGGGAAGGCAATGAAGAATGATGAGAAAAGCACAGGTTTTTTTGCGGCTGGCACTCCTAGGATCAACTGCCAGCTCTGGGGGCCGGCATGGTGGTATAGCAGTTAAGTTCACACGCTCCATGTCAGTGACCTGGGGTTCATGGGTTCGGACCCCAGGTGCACATCTACACACCACTCATCAAGCCATACTGTGGCAGGTGTCACACATATAAAGTAGAGGAAGATGGGCACAGATGTTAGCTCAGGGCCAATCTTCCTCAGCAAAAAGAGGAGGATTGGCAGCAGATGTTAGCTCAGGGCCAATCTTCCTCACCAAAAAATAAATAAATAAATAAGCCCAGCTCTGCCACTCAGCAACTGCCTCAGTGTCCTCATCTACGTGACAAGAGTTTTTGGGTATCCTCAAGGGCAGTTTTAGTACACAGGAAGTTTATTCAGAGGCTTAGTTTGGTTTTTAAAATTATGTTCTTTTATTAAAGTGACAAATTGAAGAGTTGATCTTCCTTAAGCTTTTTTTGTAAAGATTGGCCCTGAGCTAACATCTGTTGCCAATCTTTTTTTTTTCCCCTTCTCCTCAAAGCCCCCAGTACATACTTGTACATAGTTATACATTTTTAGTTGTGGGTCCTTCTAGTTGTGGCATGTGGGATGCTGCCTCAGCATGGCCTGATGAGCGGTGCCTTGTCCATGCTCGGGATCCAAACCAGCGAAACCCTAGGCCGCTGAAGCGGAGCATGTGAAGTTAACCGCTTGGCCATGGGGCCAGCCCCTTCCTTAAGCTTTTAAGTTTGCCTTCAAATCTTATTGATCCATTTATAAGTCTAGCAAATTTTAACACTCTCTTTTGAGGGGGGCCTATGACTAATGTTTGGTTTCATTCACAAATTGGGTAATCGAACAGCTTCACATGTTTCAAAGTGCATTTAGATGTTTAATGTATTTGATCCCTTTCTTAAGGATTTCAATTGTATGACAACAAATAAAATTTCCTTAGTATTCAGAAAAAAAACTTATAAGTCTAATAAATTATGCTTACAAATATGGGAAACTATACTTCCCTTAGATAAGCTTAGTGAGACCTCAAGTTGAAATCACACATTTAATGCGATATTCAATTACACAATTTAAATTGGGGTTACAAGACTGTCACTCTGTCCCATGGCCAAATTTATGTCAGCATCAGAAATATGTAACACTTGCATAGATTCCTTAGCCTGAAATATTAATATTAAACAAGTCTGTCTTAGTCTGTACAAATCTCACTGAAAGTCACCAAGGTTATTTCAAGCGAGAGACGTGGCGCTTCAGCCACCTGGAGTGAGTCCCTCGCACCTCACCGAGGAAGGGGTTGCGTCTTCCCGTGTGATTCGTGAGCTGGCTTTCTGAGTTTCCTTCTGAGGTTACTAAAGACGAGAGATTTCAGCTGGCGGCTGACTGGTTCTTGTTGTTGTCTCTACTTGGAGGTGTGAATGATATTTATAGTCGCAGATCAATTCCAAGAGGCTGCTGTTTGTGTCACCCTGTCCCTGGAGCCAGGTTATACACATTTCTGTGAGTTCACGCCAGGAAGCTGTAACTCCTGCCTGAGGCAGTCTCTTGGTTAGGTTTTGTATTTCCTTGGCAAAACCTTAAGATCTGTACGCACGTCCTGTCTTCTTCCACATTCCTAGAGTCACATAACACTGGTTGTTAATATTGAATATGTGCATTGTATTTGGGTATTGAGACGATAGCTGATTGCATTTCATGTATCTCTCATGGCTTCGCTTGTGGTCACAATATGTGAGGTCAGTCTATTAGCGATCCGTAATTTGGACTTGGTACCTGCATTGATGAATGCACAGCACCTACCCCAGTGATGGGACATTGCAGGCACCCAGTTAGCCACGGCCATTACCACTGTTTTTACAACCATGATGCTAACGCATTTTCTTAATAACTTACCCTGCTCGTTTCCTCACTTCCCTGGTTGGCCAGCGTAAATTCCATCGCCCGTTTCGATATCATCATGCCCTTGCATAAACCCTCGATTGTCTTGTGCTTTTCTTTCCTCATCGTTCTGCTGTGTAAACCCATCTCTCCACCTGCTGCATGCCTGCTCTCACACAGCTGCACGTGGCCCGAGCAAAACACACTGCCATGCTCGTTGGTCCCCTTTAAATTCTTGTTCACTCACTTGAATGCTGCCTGACAATCATAGTGTGTTTTCCTAGTCCACTCACTGTCCCACCGTCCTCAACAACTATTTCATTGCTTTTCATCTCTCCTCAAATTGTCACCCTTACTCTGAGCCCACAGGCTTGCTTCTAACGTCACTAATAAAATACCAGCACTCAGATCACAACTTCCACATACTCCCATCTCCATATGCAACCGCCTCCCTGCGTCCATGCCCATTTTTCCTGGAGGAACCCTTAGCGAAGGCCAACCCTCTGTATGTGCGCTGGATCTCGTCTCGTGTCTATTGGAGGGCACTGCTCCAGAAATCTCTCCTCTCTGTACAGAATTATAAAAGTTTTCCTCTCTAATAGATCTTTCCCATTTTCCTACAGAATCACTATTAATTCTCCCATGTGTTTTCCAATCTTCTCTTGTCTCCATTTCTTGCCCAGTAAAGCTCCCTTTCTTTACTTCCCTTTACAACAAAACTCCTTAAATGAGTTGTCTCCATTTCTTTCCTCTCATTATCTCTTGAGCAAAGTGCAGTCAGGCTGTTGGCACACTGCTCCAGGGAAACTGTTCTTATCAGGGTTACGAATGATTTTCTAAAGCCCGTGGTCAGTTCTCGGGCCTCATCTTACTTGACCTAGCTGCAGAATTTAATCCTCTTTCTTCAACATATTGTCTTGTTTTGTTTTTTCTGCTACCCCATTGGCAGTTCCTTCTCAGCCTACTGTGCTTTTTCTTCTCTTCTCCCTGCTCTCTTAGCATTCAGTTAAGAAGCTCCATCCTTAGATCACTACACCTTTCTCTCTACACTGTCCCCTTGGTGCTATCACAGAGTCTCATGATCTCAGATGCCATCTATACACCAATGGCTCCAAGATTTATGTCTCCATCATGGACCTGTCTACCTGACAACTCCACTTGGAAGTCTAATGGGCATCCCTAACTTCGCACTGTCCAAAATCTGCTTTCCCCAACAAATTTACCAGTCTTCTCCATCTCAGGAAATAGCAGCTCTAGCCTTCCATTTACTTAGGGCAAAACCCTTGGAGTCATCCTTGAGTCCATTCTTTTTCTTCCAACCCATCTCTGATCCATCAGCAAATCCTATCAGCTCTATATAAAAAATATGTCCAGAATCCAACCCTTTCTCGCCACCTCCACTGCTACTACGGTGATTCAAGCAGCCTCCTCTCACCTGGACTTTCAACAACAGCTTCCTTGCTGTTCCCTCTGCTCTTATCTTGCCCCCACCTCAGTTTATTCCCAACGACCAAATAGAATGTTTAAACACATTGAAATCGGATCGTGTTACCCCTCTTCTAATGATGCGCATCTCACTTAGAGAAAAAGCCAAAGTCCTCACAAGGGTCCACAAAGCCTTACATGATCTCAGAGTCCTTCTTGTCTCAGATTGCATCTTCTACTGCAGTCCTCCTCATTCACTGGACTCTAAAATGCCAGGTATACGCCCCCTTTGAGGCCTTTGTGCTGTTACTAGGGGTGCTCCTCCCTGGATGTCCATGCTTCTCACGCCTCCGCTTCCTTTAGGTCTTCAGTCAGTGGCCACCGCATCAGACAGGATGGGCTAGGTTATGCTGCAGCAGCAAGCAACCTCCAAACCTCAGTAGCTTGAAACAAGTCATGATCCCTGCCCATCTGGGGGTGGTGGGCTCTGCTCCATGTTGTCTTCACTCCAGGTTCCAAGCTAACAGAACAGCCACTCTTGGACCATTGCTGTGGCAGAAGGAGAGAAAGAGCATGAAGGATCATACACCAGCCCTTAAAGCTTCCATGCCAAAGCAGCATACTTCACCTCGACTCACAGTTCATCAGCCAAAGCAAGTCACTGGGCTTCCCTGATTCCAACGTAGCAAGGAAATACAACCCTACCATGTGCCCAGAAGAAGAACCAGAAATACAGACGAACAGTCCTGGAACAGCAGCAGCGACTCAGTCATCATCTGAGACCTTCCCAGCCACGCTGTGAAAAAGAGCCAGCCTCCCCACCACCTCCCGCTTCCTATCCCACTTACTGGCTTCATTTCTCTCTTCAGGACCTTTCACTATCTGCACACTCTATACGTCGCTTGTTTATCTTGTTTACGTCATTCTCCATTAGAATGTAGACTCGAAGGGCAAAGAGATTTTCCCTGTTTGATTCAGTACTGTGTTCCCAGTGCCTAGAATTGTCACTGCTACATAGAGGCTTTAGACAAAAATGTGCTGAACAGACGAGCGAATGACAAGAAGGATACAATTAGTGATCCACGTGAGAAATACGATGATCTTGGGATTTGGCTTAACCAGGTTTGGTACCACCCGATTCCTCGACAAATTTGAGTATGCATCTACTGTATGCAAGGCTGTATGCATCAAGGAGAACATCCCCATCCTTGAACATACCAGATACAGGGGGAGTTAGCACCTTTCTTACTTTACACCGTTTCTGCCAATGGAGGGCAAGGAGCTTCTTGACTTTTGTGGAAACAAGAGTAACAATCGTCTTGTTTTCAGCTAAGATCTGGCTGCAATCAAGCTTTCTTGTCCAGAAATACTAGCAAGTCTCATAGGTGACAAGCACGCTGCCTAATTTCTCCTGCCTGCTCCATTTGCATTTCATCACATGTGCAGACCCTCCGTAAACAAAACTCGCAGCATCTTATTCTGAAAAGTTGTCATCAGCCTCTGTGCATCATGGTCTTCCTAAATGAAACAAATAAGGCATTTCTCATTTGTAATTAAATAATTCCTTAGAAGGCTCTGCCTTCTACCAAAGATTCACGGGGAATCCATTTTCACACAGCGATAATTATACTCAGCACTGAGGGTAGACACTGTGGTGTGGGCTGTGGATATTTATCAGCTCATCAGAAGCAAATCATAAAGGAACTTAGTACGGAAGCTAAAAACAGATCTTAGTTAGTAGGAAACGAAGTTAAGATGTTAATGCTGAATCCCAGGCTAGATTGCTTCCCCACTTAGGGATATTATTGCTGAGTCAATTATTTCCACCAAGATTTTTTTTTTGCAAGGACCACATCCAGTTGTGTAAAATATTTGAGGGAGCAGTAAGTACATTTGCGTATGATATGCACATCATTTGTATAGGATCACATACCATCTTCAGGAAAATTCTAAGTGAAAATGAAACTAGTTATATTTTCTCTTATTATGCATTCCTTAGCGTCTGTGCCCCAGTCTTCCAGGTTCCCCACTGCCTACAGGAGAAAATGCAGTGTCCTCTGCCTGGTGCCCAGTCCACCTGTCCTACCATCCCTTTCCTGTTCCCTACGTCCTCTTATGCACCAGTCACACACAATCACACACTGTTTTCCACCACGCTGTGAGAGGTCACTCAGTTGACTGTCCACGAGCCACTTTCTCACTTTCTTCTTTGCTAGCCGAACCATAACCGTCTCCCTTCTGGCGTTTGTGCTCTGTATGCTCAGGGGCCTCACCGAGCTCCAGGGCGTGGGCTTTGACTCGTCCACAGCCAGCCTGGCGGATCCACGCCCCTGGGAAGTGACTGGTTTCGGCACGGTCATGTGCTGCAGTCCTGGCCAATGAGAAGTAAAGGGAAGCTGTTAGGAGATTTCTTGGAAAGTTTCCTGAGTCTTAAAAGAGGACACAGAAAAGACAGAGACTCACCTCTTTTCTGCTTCTGGACGGGGCTACGGAAGGAGGCGATGCCTGGGAGAGCTTCAACAATATGACCATGAGAGTGGAGGGTGCTCATGAGACAGCAGAGCAGAAAGATGGAAGGAACCTGGGATGTGGAAGAGGTCATCGTGTCCCGGCTTAAGCAATCATAAGAACAACTTTACGACTTCAGTGCCAGGCACTGTCATGAGCGTTTTATGTACATTAACTTATTCGGTCCTCACAACTGTCATATGCAGTGGATGTTCTTGTTATTTCCATTTTACGGTTGAGCAAACTGAAGCAGAGAGGGTTGAAGTGTCAAAGTCACTCTCCTTCTTTGTTTTTTCAGCGTTTTATTATAGAAAACTTAAAGGATATACTAAAGTAGAGAGTAGCATAATGAATCCCACGCACACATCAGTCACCCAGTTTAAATAATTATCCAGGGGCCAGCAGGGTGGCCCAGGCAATGAGTTTGTGTGCTCCATTTCTGTGGCCCAGTGTTTCACCGGTTCGAATCCTGGGCGTGGACCTAGCACCGCTCATCAGGCCATGCTGAGGCGGCATCCCACATGCCACAACTAGAAGGACCCACAACTAAAAGATACAACTATGTACTGGGGGGTTTGGGGGAGAAGGAAAAATTAAAAATTAAAAAACCTTTAAAAAAAATTACCCATCAGGGCCAGTCTCGACTCACTCATGCCCCTGCCCCTTCTTCCTCTGCCCCAGGTTATTTTGAAGCAAATCCCAGACCTCACATTGTTTCATTCTGGATCACTCCATGCGTGACAAAAACCGAAAACTACTTTTATCTGGGTCTTCTGTTACAACTAAAACGAGTCTCTAAATATTAATAACTTTCTCCTCATAAAAATCTGAAAATGTATATAAGCTGAAGGCAAAATATAAAAATCACCCACCATGTGACCACCTGGCAATAACGGCTAATAATAACTTGGTGTTCTTCCTCTAAGTATTTTGCAGACTTTTGTTTTGAATACGAGATTGCTTTTTTCCACTTATTTTGGCCTGAATGTTTCCCATCCTCGTTCCAGTCCCATGGTCTCTGGGTGCTGGGCCCCCTCTGTCCTTTTTTCTTCCAGGAACCTGACCAAGTGCTTGCTGACCTCCACCATTGGACGTCAGTGACATGCGGCAACTGTCTGTTCATCCATGTTTCTGACCGGACCAGCGCACAATGAGGGCAGGGACTCTTTCTGAGTTGGCTTTTTTTTTTAATCTCTGGTGTCTATATTGTTATAAGAAACAACCTGACAAGACTCAATATTGCTGGGATGGTGTTGACCACGGGGTGGCCTGCATCATGCGTGTCCCCTTTGCAAGAATCCAGCGAGGAAACTTTCCTCTCAAAAGCTGTGTTGCTCCTGAAAAACAGGTGTGTTCTTTAGTGGACACTGCGAACGCTTGTTGTATCAGTGTGTGTGTCCATTTTCGCTTTGGTCACTGGAGAGCTCAGAGCCGAAGTCGTGCTTCTAACTCTGGGAAGGATTTTCAATTTTCAAGGCATGAACTCTCCCACTAGTCTCACTTCGTTTTCCCTTCACCATGAATTCTTTATATTTGGAATAATGATGTGGCATCGTGACAGGACCACTTTCGACATGTTAATTCATGAGCTTTCTTCTCTTTTTCCTTCCATGAACGTAGCTTGCAGGTTCTGTGCCTTTTTGCTTCCAGGTGGTAACATTATGGTTGACTTCCCTTTCTGGATTTGTTTAGAAAAGTCTGAAGTCTTTAAGGAGGTTGACCCATGTGTCCTGCATGAAGAGAAAGCGCTTCTGAGGAAATGTGGAAAGGGGGGCGTTTCTCCCAGATTGACTCAGAGATTCCCAGTCTCCTTGGTTCTCTGGGTTTAGAGAGCAGACGGAAGCAGGACCCCAGGTGGGAGCAGTGGCCAACCTGCGTGCCCAGCAGTAACAGGCTTGGGTTAGAATTGTTTGATTTATAGCAAACGAAGAAATAGAATATTTCCTGCATGACTGAATTTGTGGACTGGGATTCATAATCAGTGCAGAACCTAATGAATTCGTGAAAGTCATCCCCAATCCTTTATGGAACGAGCCAGTGAGCAGACAGACACTAGAGAAGAAAACCGCCATCATTGTGGAAAGACTTGAGCTCTGGAGGCAGACCTGTCATTACGGTACTTCAGGCCCTTGGTGTTTTCCCGTAGGTTTCTCCACGTGCCTCCCAGCTGTCGTGGCAGCGCCCGGTCTTGCCTGCTGCAGTGCGTCCTTCGCCCAGCTGTCAGGGTTGTCTTTTTCAAATGCAGGTTGATTTGGGTCACTCCCCTCCTTCAAGTTCTCCATTAAATCCCATTTGCCCTCCAGATAAAGCTCAAGGCTAGAAGGGCCTTCATCGCTTGCTTCTTGCCTACCTTGGTATCCTCATCTTGTAAAAGCATCCCCATTCCTACCCAAACTGGACGCTCCAGCAATAGTGTCCCGCTCGCTGTTCTGCGAACGTGCCAGCTCCTTCTTCTCTTCTTCTCGCGCGTGCTGGTCTTCTTGCTCATGATGCCTTTGCACTGACCGAGTCATCCCTCTTCAGAACTCTTCCCACGTGCCACTGTCCTCCAGGCAGCCTTCTCCAACTCTGCCCTCTCCGCGTGGGTTAAGTGTGGCATCTCTGCTGTGTGTTCCCAGAGGGTCCTAGGGTGACTCTGTGCACTTATCACAGTGATTTGAACTGCATGTGTCACAGTAACAAAGGACATGCAAGCTTGTTTACAACTGGGGTTCTGGTATCCACAGATGTTTGATGCATGGTAGAGCAGGAGCAGGAAGACATTGCAGGGAGGGTCGTCGGGCGTCTAGAGGAAATGAGGAAGAAGTCTGGTACTGTGGTTCACACTTGGCAACAGGGCCTGGGGGCAAAGAGGTTTGAAGCCCAATGTGAGGACGTGTCATCTATGCCTGAGGCAGAGGTGCTAAACTCTGCCCCAATATTCATTCTCTTCCTTTTAGTAATGAAAACCCCTCCAGGTTTTCAGGTGGTCACATGGTTATCCAGCTAAAGATGACATTTTCCCAGCCTCCCTTGTGACTAAGTTCAGGCCAATGGAATGGAAGTAGAAGGGACGCATAGAAGCTTCTCTGTCACTACTCTAAAGACAGAGCTGCGTGCTCCGACCCCCTCTCTACCCTTCCTGCAGGCTGAAATGCAGAGATAGGTGAGGAAACCTGGATTCCCGCTTGATCCTCTGGCGCAGAGCTGCCCACCCAGGCTGGAGAGCTTGCCTAGCTCATTGTGGTCCATGAGAATGAAACAAACTCCTGCTATGTTTGGTAAAGTCTTAACTATTTTCCAAGTATCCCCTCCAGAAAAGTGTTGTGGGATTTACCAATGGGAAGGGGAACCCAGGGTGCGGTGGGGGATTATAAGAAATCCTGCTGGAGTGCCTCTCCTGTAGCAGGCCCTGGGCAGTGGGGGGCCATGCAGGATCCCATTAAGGCTTCATGTTGAGCCCACAGGACACTCAGCATTTAGACTTCTGCCCACATGGGCCTTGACTGCCAAGCGAGTAAGGACCAAACAGCACCACTTATGGAAGAATTTTGCTTCCCTCTTCCCCATCCTTCTTTAAGACCAAAAAGCGCTAGAGAAGAAAGGGGAGGGAGGAAAGTGCGAGAGAAGAGCACACTCCCTTCCACGGTGGACAGCAGGTCTCCTGAGTCAGGAGGGAGATGATGAGGTTGGGTATGAGTTTGAAGCTTTAAGCTGGATCAATTGTATTACATTTCATTTTTTTGTATCTGAAAATGAGCATAAAGTGCTAAATAAAATGTTATTTAGGGCAGAGGGAGTGAGGTTCAACAGAGCTTTTTTGGGGCAGTCACTGGAAGAAATAGTATTTTTCATGTTTGGACTCTACTCAGTTTAGACCAGTCAATAAACTGGTTACAAACTGAAAAAAAAAAAATAGCTAGAATTATAGCTCTAGCCCTCCTCCCACCCTGGTTTGGCCGAGGCCCGCTACCTTAGAAAAGGCACATGTGTGTATCTGTGTGAAGAGGGGCTGGAGACAGGGGTGAGTACCGGAGATCCAGACGCGGGAACCCCAGCGGCTCAGAGGCCGAGGGCTGGTCAGCAGCGCCCTGCAGGGCTTCAGAGGGCAGGTGCTTCTCCTCCACACCCACCCGTGTTTCCTCTTTGTGGGACGAGCTCAGTGGGAGTAACTCTCTCGCCTCTCTAGGGCTCTTTACTCTCTCCCTCCCAGGACAGCTGGAAAACTTCACTGATTGGCGACTTGGGGATGAATAAAGGGCACAGTCAGCGGAACTCCTCCCTACTCCTTCTGAGAGTAAGTGTCCCAAGGGCTGTATACTTGATGTCTCCACACACAAGTGGCACAGGACACGGACCCCACCTGGGGACCCTGCAGTGGTTCAGGGCTCCATGGGTCTGGGTGGCAAAGGAAAGGATTAGCATTGTTGGGCCCTCCCAATGCAACCCTGAGGGCATCCACATGGACAAGCAGAAAACAGCACACTCCAGACAAGAGAAACAGCGGCCCAAGGACAGTCCAGGAGACATGATCGGAAAGCAGCTCAAATTATCAAATTTCCAACCCCACCTTGGCACTCCCAGAGAGATGCAAAAAAAGAAAGTCTGAGGAAGCCATGTGGCAGGTGAGGCTGGTAACAGAGCAGATTTGGGGGCAAACTCTTAAAGTGACTTAACCTGGTTCCATCAGGATGGCAATTAAGGGAAGATTTGTGCTGCAAGAATCAACTAATACTTGAAGACCTCCTGATAGGTAAATAATACTATTCCAGGTGTTTTATGGAGCTTAGGGGACAAGCTGTCTAACACCTAATACGTTTATAGTCTAATACAATTTACTGAAATGTCAACTTTTCTTCCTGCCGCGGAAGGAAAGAAACCACATTTTCCTCAGAGGTTTCCACTCATTCTTTGAGTTTTATCCCTCCTTGTTTTATTGATTCTGCAGCTTGGTGGGAAAGGTATGAGATTAGATTAAAGGAACCAACCAGTGAGATCCAGCTGAACCGCTCAAATTCCATTGAAGGACTGAAGATTCTCGGGACGCAGGGTTTTGCAGATGTTCATTTCAAACCACCTTTTAAAAAGTAGAGGTGCAGGTACATGTGCTTCGCCATTCCTAACTGATTTTTATCTTGTAGGAGAAAATTCTGAGCTCAGCACAATTCTTGTCCTAAAGAAGTGTTTCATAATGATGCTCATACAAATTCTTGTTACAACACAGCTAACAAGAGCCAGGTTGGTTGTGGTTGAGTTATATCTACCATTTTGTGGGCCAAGTTTTTGTAAACCAACCAGATCATTGCCTTAATTGGGGTCATTTGGGGGTTTGGGGTGGTGCAACATGGTCACTCCCTCTCACTCCTGAGGTTCATTAGTCATTTCATGTGCCAAAGTGCAGCAAGCACCAAGAGGTCAGATCGCATATTTGCTTTGGGAGAAACAGCAGGCTTCCAAGCATGTGATGCTGGAGGTGACTCAAGGCGTTGAAAGTGATTTTTCTTCAACTTGCTGGA